ACGTACGAGCCATATTTAATACAGTCTCTTGTCCATATATTCTATCATCGTCAATATAAACTTTTTGTCGTATGATATCTACATGTACACACAACATATCCATACACATACCTCGAACAGTCTCTTGTTCATATATATAAATAATCGTTCACTCACAAATTTTACACTTTTTGTTTACATTATACACACACAGTATTACCTACATATACACACTATATCATATTCACACAAATACCTCGATTAATCGAGCGCTGAAACTTGCAATACTTCAGTATCTCCTGGATGGCGAACGCAGCCCTATCCTGTGCTTTGGTGTCCGTCGCGGTCAGAAAGTTCGGTACCAAAGTCAACTCCAGCAGCTGCAATGCAAACTGCACAGGGTCGTGTGTGGATACAGATAAGGCCACCGTCACGCCGTCCGCGGGCGAGTTCACGGGCCGCGCTGCAAAGGATTGGTTTTTTTAATAGGGGTTTTAGGGGTTTTTTTAGGCCTCGCTGCATAGCTCAAATATATTAATAGAGAGATAAAGGTGTTGAGTAGGCGATATACACATGTATTTATATGCAGGTATATATATATTTAAGTATTCTGAAATGAATGCACTCCAGAGATCACATAATTGTGTTATTAGTACCACCTCTACACACACCCCGTCACACCCCTGGATATCATTGAACGGGCAGCATCAATTTGGCTATCTGCGTTATATGGCAATAGCGTTAAGGCTACAGTCACCTTCTTTGCAGGCGATTCCTAACTCGTAATTCATGAATATCATGGTGTACACATATAAATTAAAAGGCCTTTTTAATGACCACCTCAAAGGCTCGGTCAATTGAAACAGGATCAACTATCGAGATTGTGAATAGAAATTAGTAACGCCACAGAAACTCTTCCTACAGGTGAAGCGTACGATGTAGTATGCCGAACATTGGTGGGTGATATTACACAAGCCTTCGGATATACACAGCCAGCAGTACACTCGGTAGTGATAACATGATTTGAATGGGTTGCCAAAGTGCCACTATCAAATAATGACACAGTGCATTGGCTAGTTTGTGGGACGCTCTGTAATGCCGATATTAGGGTATATAAGTTGCGGGTCCTAGGGATGTGGGTACTCTAGTTCAAGGGTTCATTGGCACGGTCATACAGACTACGCGCGAGTTCATGCGGTGCTCTGCAGTGAGAGCAGGGTACCATTTTTCAGAAATTCTGATGGAAATCAAACAAATAAAGTACAAGTCATCTGTACCTGCATTCACACGCCAGTCACAAACCAACATTTGACACAAGTACGCTCACATCACCTTCAGCGAGCTTGATTGAATTAAACATAGCGATATCCAACAATCATTTACACACAAGTATATTTTATATTTCATAGTGATATATGCTTATATATACATACATACATAC